AAGCTACCAGGTTGGGTCAGCAACAATTTAAAACCCCTCATCTATAAGCTCGGTCTTGAAAATAAAGTTATGGAATTTGATAAAAGTTTTGCTAGGGAAAATATATTAGAGACTTTGATAGAGCTATTACCCCAGGATGAGATGGTTTTGAGAAGCCAGACAGGTATCTTACCCAATTAATTTGTTCATAGTCGACCAGCACATTCTGAAAAGTATATTTTGAGTGAGGAGGTTGTAGAGCAATCAGGTGGCACAGAAGTAATGCCATCAACCCAAATAATGCTTCTAGTACCAGCTATCCCTGTCGTTACAAACTCCTTAATGTCACTATTGATAACATATACTATACTTACTTTACTATTTCTTGCCATTATATGGATCATTGGGAAAAAAATATGGAATTTATGGAAAAAAAGTAATATCAAGTATTCTTCTAACTGGAACCATTTTTTATCATTTCTGGATATTTTTGAGGTCAAGTTATATGGTCGGAGGCCAGAAGTTTGGAGTGATTATTCTAGGTCAGAAGTTCGAAGATAAGAATTAAATTTAACTGGTATTATTGCACGAGAAAAATATGTAAATAATATTATGAGAAGCGTCTTAACGACTAAGTATTCTAGCAGAGGTATGGCAATTTTAGCTAAAAGTATTTAACCATATAGTTAGGTGGTTTTGGCGAATTCTCAAAATACCTAGAAAGTTTATTAAAGACTCTTGATATATTTAATAAGCCAGTTTTTTGCCTTTTTCTGAAAATATTTATCGATCTGTTTTCTCTTATATCTGAATCTTTAATCTGCATTATTTTATCTGATGAGAGTGGTAGGAGCATATTATCCTTATTGATAAAACATGCACATATTCCTACTATTTGTTCTAAATAGTATCCGATATCTATCTTCATTTTAAACTCTTTTGCAATTTCTGGAAACTTCATGTAATTACCTTTCTTGTCGATTTTGAACCATCTTTTTTATAACGAGGGCCGTCATTCACAACAATATAGCTAAAGCGTTCGCCAGAATCAGGGATCTTTATATTTTTTTTCTGCTTGCTATTCTTTCTCTCATCCGCTCTATAAAGATTTTATTGCATGTGAGGCCTCCTTTAGCCTTCCATTTAGACATTGCAATAAACTGATTAAAATTCCACTGCTTAAATCTAGCATCCCAGAGAGCATCTTCAATAATTTTACGAATTGAACATATGTTATTGATACCCATTGCCTCCCACATAATCTTTTCTTTGATAAACCTGAAGAGCTCAGAATTCCCTTGCTTTACAGTATTAATTTCTCTCATAAAGAGATCATTTGGCCTAAAATTAATCACATCTTCATGTGATATACCGAAATATTTTTTCTTGCCAGCAAAGCAGATGGGAAATAATACCTCTTTATATGCCATCTTAAGATAAAATGTGCCATTCTTTATCTCAAGATATGCATTTACTTGATCACGCAAGCTTTTCATCACAATCATAGTAATATTGACCATTTCGGTCCAGTACACTTCTGTAGAAAGATCTTTTCTGAAAAAGGCTTCATCGCATTTTTCATAATACTTATCTGGGCAGGTGAGATATAAAGAATCAGTATCACCATATTTTATCCCAAACCCTTTCTTTGTTACGAATTCTGCGACAAGATTAAGGTTATATTTTCCTGCTAAAGTAGTTCCTCCAGCTAATTTATGGAGAAAGATTGGAGATTTTGAGTTACCTGCCTCCCCATAAAAAGTATTCATATATACCTTTAAAGCTTTTTGCTTCGAATCCCAATAATCGTAATCGAAGTATATGGATGAATATTCTGAATTTAAGCTTTCTGGAATCCATTTGCCTCTTTTTTTAGCTGAACTTATTATCTTTCCAAGATGTTGCCTTTTCTTTCCTAGTGGGGCCAGACATGCTTTAAGCTCCAGCCTCTTGTTAAATAAATCCTCTAATACAACAGGATATAAGCCCTTCTTTTCAAATTTGTTATCATGTCTTACACTTCTAGCTTGAACGATACAATTATTGAATGGAAACTCAATCTTATGTAAAATGTTTCCATTTTTTTCTGCAATATTAGCCTCTTCATGTGTTAGTATTATTTTATCTGGAGAGAGATTGTAAGCCATGATGAGACTGGGATATAATGAGGCAAAGTCTAAT